CCCCAAAACCCCAAAACCCCAAAACCCCAAAACCCCATTCTTAATGCTTAAAGTTAATTTGAAAGGTAATAAAATAACATAATCAGAAAAATGCTGGACGATGTAATATTTACTCTCATACTTTATTGACTTTGATAAATGATTATAGTTAGCAGATTTAGATTTCAACATTAGTATCGGGGGCTCAGATTATAACAATTTCTTTACTCAATCAGACGAAAAGGATGGCTTAACTGAAGATACTTCAGATTCACATGATATTGAAAATGACTCTACTATATCCTCGATTACTGCAGGTTCTTCAGCTAAGCAATAGGCACCAGTAGCCTAAACTGAAGGCAGTACTGGCAATGGAATGGGAATATTTTCTACAGCTAATCACCCGATTGCCTGTCTCTTTCATATATTATTCAAAGGCCTTTCTTTTTTCTGGTAACCAATTGATTTATTCTAAGAGTATATAGTTTCTTATTCCTGAACATATTCTTGGGAAATGATATCTTGGCCTTCATCTTTATCATCATTTTCGCAGCAATAGACTTCTGGGTAGTGAAAAATGTCAGTGGTAGGCTAATGGTTAATCTAAGATGGTGGAGTGAGATAGATGAGGATGGGAATGAAAACTGGGTATACGAAAGCAACACTGAAGATAAGGAGGTAGGTACCACTGACTCATGGGTTTTCTGGTCTGCTCTTTATCTCACACCAATAATATGGGGGCTTTGTGCAGTAATGGACTTGCTTTCTTTCAAATTTTTCTGGATGAATGTGGCTATCATATGTGGCACTTTATCTTCAATAAATGTCTCTGGATACTATAACTGCAAGAGGGATCATCAAAATAAATTAAGCAACTATGTCCAATAAAAAGCTATGTCATACTTCTTAGGAGAGTATATGGGATAAGCTTTAGGCAGTGTAAAAGGCATGATGTGGTCAAAAATACCTTCATTCTTAGGTGGCTAGCAGCCAGTAAAGCCAAAGGAGAGTATATTTAGTGATGAGGATAGATAGTATTATTGAACTTTAAAGCTTAAAGAAATTAAGATGATAATTTAATCATTAATTGACTTTCTTCTTATATAACATCTTGGAAGTTTAATTCATTCTAGCAAGATTCTTTCATATTCCAAAGTTAGAGGGTGACTATGAGTACATTCAAACCTTACTAATTTATAAGGACTTATAGGTTATCCTCTCGCATCTAGTTCGCGACAATACTCAGCATAAAACTAGCATATTCCGACATTAAAATCAAGCCCCTCAGGTGATTTATAATTAGAGCCTAATTTCTTATCTCTCTATGCTACCCATTAGGAATTGCCTACTAAGCATTTAAATGGAACAAATTAGAAATTGGCTTTTGGCTTATTAGAGCAAGTTACTGCCTAGAATCCTAGCTGGGCACTCATAAATTTCACCCTCTATTTCAAATAATTTCTATCCTAAGCGACATTGAAATCAAAGTATTGCAAAAATTTAGGAGTGAGATACAATGGCAATTATTTGTCGATGATGTTAAAAATATTACTCATATATCTCTTATCTTAGAAGGCCTCTATTATATCTTAGTTATTTTGTCCCTGAGAATTCACAGTTATAGCAATTGGCTGCATTTTAGCATTTAGGATCTTTTCAACAAGCCATTTCAATGACTTGTCAACATTATATTTAAGCTAAGCTTGCTCAGATTCGCTTAAAATTACTCTAGGGTTGGATGTATCAACAGACAGACTATTCATTTTGCTGAAGAAGTTCTGGAGGTTTATAATCATGGTCTTGATATCCATGTCATATTTTATATTCAACTTATCTCTCCATATACAAACATTGTTTGATCTTTTAACCCCAGATTATTCTTATCTGATATTATTCACATCATTTGCTACCTTATTTTGAATAGCATTTTTAAATAGGTCATTCACTGATGACGTATGACCAATAGCATGGCCAGGAGTACTTTAAGGAGGTCTTCCACGAGGTCTTTTAATTTTATGAACTGACTAAGACATGTTTAGAGTACCTCCATGCTTAGGTTTCGGTCCAGGCTTTAGTCTTGCTTTATTCAAATCTGGTTTTTTTGGAGCCTGTATTCTGATCTATGATATCGGAACACTGCTTATAGGTTTTTACTAATTGATATTATTTAAATTGTTCTTGTTCATTAATTCCTTGATGTGTTTGAATCCCTCTTAAACTGCCTGATTATCAAGCTCTACTTGATTAGAATTTGTAAATAAACTAGTATTAATGACTGGTTAAATTATAGCATGTCCTCTTTTTGAAACAGTTATATTTGTTATTTAAGGAGCACCAGGGTTGCTTTTATCGCTCTAAATTTGCTTGCTACTATCTGGTTTTCTACCTTTTCTTTAATTACCAGTTTATCCTCCGATGGCTTGAGGTTGAGTGGGTTGAAAAATCCTATGCTGAATTTAAGCTAGTGAGTTATCAACCTGTGCATTTCTTTCAATAATACCAATATCAATTGACATTAAGGCTCTCAACTTCTTCATAACCTAAATTTTTTTCATATATCTTTCAAGATTATGATTACTGATTGGCTAGATCACTCTTATTTACTTAGAGATTCCATGAGACTTCTTCTGAATGCCTATTTCATTCATCAAATTTCGGCACACAACAGCGTATGGATCATTTTTATTCTTTTTCTTCAAAGCATTTCTCAGCCTCTTACCTATGTTGTATATATGAAAGTTCTGATAGGGGTTGAATTGCATGACTTGTCTAAATGGTCTGAGTAGTGTTCTATATTACTTCATGCTGAGATTTTTACAGAGTACTAAAGATTTAGTTGGCGGGCATTTTATTATTTGAACTTCTTCGTCTTAATAATCTGGTGGGGAATCCCCCAAAATAATCTCAGAGTTTTAATCTTGATTTTGATACTAATTTTATTCTAATTGTGTCTACTCCACTAGATTAATAGGGTCATTTAATCTACCTTAGAACTAATCATGCACTTCTTACATCTCCTCATCATTTATTTCGTTAGATATAATAATATCCTATGTTTGATTGTCAATCAGAATTTCCATTTAATTAAATTACTTAAGAACTTCTAGTGACTGGGGTTTTGGGGTTTTGGGGTTTTGGGG